GGGTAGTCGATTCTCAATTTACATATGGGTTAAATTCTTATTTTCCTTCTGGTCCCCAATTTGCATACACCGACCTCGTCCCGACCACCCACCTACCTGCTTGCCCATCAACCCTTTGACCCACCGAGGCACCCACCAACTAACCCACACACACACATACACACTCCTGCCCGCCGGCGCGTCCACTCATCACCAACTACCCCGCTCACCCATGCACGCGTCCGTATCTCCTCCCCTTCTGTCACCCACACACCCACCCGCCCGTCTACCCGCCCTCCTGCCCATCCGCCCACCAATCCAGCGATTGCTGCGTACTGAATATAGCGATGGATCTGGAGGAGGGCGCACCTTACCTATCTAACATTTTAGGCTTAGGTGCCCCAGGGCTCAACTTACGTGACTGTAGTGCCTCTGACAGGGAGATCCTAAGAATCGAGAGTCGATGGTGGCAAGATTTCCGACACCAGCTGGATCGCTGGATAGAATTTAGCCGCAGTGTGAAGGAGAATTCTAGCGACCGACTGCTCTGATCGGTAGTTTTCCATGCTTTCTCAGACCAACACCAGGCGAATGCCGAACCAGTACTCTGTCAAACGGGTCATGGACTGCGCGATCTTTCCTGTCTCCTCTTTGTCCTATAGTTCCCTTTTCTTACACACACACACACACACGCACACACACACACACCCTTACGTTCCCTTCACCATAACATATGTTTGGTGATCAGTCGGGGGCTTAGAGCTTTTCCCGGCTAAGAAAACACCGCGATACGACATGTAGGTCGTTGATCGATCGTATCTCACAAACCAGTGGGGGAATTTCACCTCCAACTCTCGTGATTAAGAACATGCACTTTACTTACGGATCTTTTGACCTTAGCAGTTGACGCGCCCGGAAACACGAAATAATCCATTCCTCAATCAGTAATCTAGCATTGTCTGTGAAGGTCACGAATTTATTGAAAATGTTGTATATTTGGTTAAAGGAGTTAGGCAGGTTACACAAAACACACATTTCTTCCACAGACAATTCAGTTCATACAGAAAGCTCTGCAAATGAAATCTACACTCAGACAAAATGACTGAGACCGTGTCCTTAGAAGGTCCATGGTGCTGCTGGGTCGTTTGTCCGTGGCCCAGGAGAAAATATATAGTAGTTGTAGGAGCAGGTTCATCGTGAAGGAAATATGGCTTACGAGTGATCTGAAAGCCGAGGAGAGAAAACCGGAACGTTGTAAAATATCAGATTGAGCTCTTGCTCACAACGCTCTCACGACTTACACATTCGGCTAACACATTCGGATTGATTAATGGATTCGTGTCGGATGGATTCGTGTCAACGGCTAAGGTCATTATTCCCGTAAGCGTGGTGCATATTTTTTTTATCTCAGGAAGCACAGTAATCTTCCTCCTGCTGAATGGCGAGATGCGGCGCCTCCTGCAAGTGTGTTGGCCGTGTTTTTCCAAACAGGTGTTCCCACCAGCGGGACTCCGTCCTACGCTGGCATAGTTCCGGGTTATATTAACCGCGTGCTGGCCTAAGAGCAGCCGAACTACGAACCCTGCGTAGGCTACCACTCCACACAAACACTTGTTCTACCGGGGCGGGCACCTTATCCGTACTCCCCGCCGGCGCACAAGTATGCCGCCAGGCTGGTATCCGGATCTTGACGGAATGCAGTACGCCCTCACGGCAACCTCCCTATTCAATGCCTGTTTTGGGGCCGCCCTGCCAGCTCAGAGCTACTAGCT